AACGCTTATCGTTTTTGCAGGAGTTAACCCCAACCCTAACCCTAGGGTTAAGCTTAGGATTAGGGTTAGGGTTAGCTTGGAGTGACTTCCAAAATAAATATTTTTTAGTGTACACCAGTTTTAAAGATTTTTCCTTGAACGTCTACGACGATACTAATCTTTTCCATTTGGTTTGAGATTTTCAACGCTTATCGTTTTTGCAGGAGTTAACCCCAACCCTAACCCTAAGTTAAGCTTAGGGTTAGGGTTAGGGTAAGCTGGGGGTCACTTCCAGGATAAAAAGTTTATCGTCTACAAAACTTTAAACCAACTTTCCCTGAATTTCTACGACGATACTAATCTTTTGCATTTGCTTTCAGGTTATGAAAGCTTATCGTTTTCCCAGGAGTTAACCCCAACCCTAACCCTAGGGTTAAGCTTAGGGTTAGGATTAGGGTTAGCTTGGGGTGACTTCCAAAGTAAATATTTTTTAGTCTACACCAGTTTTAAAGATTTTTTCCTGAACGTCTGCGACGATACTAATCTTTTCCATTTGGTTTGAGATTTTCAACGCTTATCGTTTTTGCAGGAGTTAACCCCAACCCTAACCCTAAGTGAAGCTTAGGGTTAGGGTTAGGGTAAGCTTGGGGTCACTTCCAGGTTAAAAATTTTATCGTCTACAAAAGTTTAAAACAAGTTTCCCTGAATGTCTACGACGATACTAATCTTTTGCATTTGCTTTCAGGTTCTGAACGCTTATCGTTTTCCCAGGAGTTAACCCCAACCCTAACCCTAGGGTTAAGCTTAGGGTTAGGATTAGGGTTAGCTTGGGGTGACTTCCAAAGTAAATATTTTTTAGTCTACACCAGTTTTAAAGATTTTTCCCTAAACGTCTACGACGATACTAATCTTTTCCATTTGGTTTCAGATTTTCAACGCTTATCGTTTTCATAGGAGTTAACCCCAACCCTAACCCTAGGGTTAAGCTTAGGGTTAGGATTAGGGTTAGCTTGGGGTGACTTCCAAAGTAAATATTTTTTAGTCTACACCAGTTTTAAAGATTTTTCCCTGAACGTCTGCGACGATACTAATCTTTTCCATTTGGTTTCAGATTCTCAACGCTTATCGTTTTTGCAGGAGTTAACCCCAACCCTAACCCTAAGTTAAGCTTAGGGTTAGGGTTAGGGTTTTCACTTCCAGGTTAAAAATTTTATCGTCTACAAAAGTTTAAAACAAGTTTCCCTGAATGTCTACGACGATACTAATCTTTTGCATTTGGTTTCAGATTTTCAACGCTTATCGTTTTTTCAGGAGTTAACCCCAACCCTAACCCTAGGGTTAAGCTTAGGGTTAGGATTAGGGTTAGCTTGGGGTGACTTCAAAATAAAATATTTTTTGTCTACACCAGTTTTAAAGATTTTTTTCCTAAACGTCTACGACGATACTAATCTTTTCCATTTGGTTTCAGATTTTGAACGCTTATCGTTTTCCCAGGAGTTAACCCCAACCCTAACCCTAGGGTTAAGCTTAGGATTAGGGTTAGGGTTAGCTTGGAGTGACTTCCAAAATAAATATTTTTTAGCGTACACCAGTTTTAAAGATTTTTCCTTGAACGTCTACGACGATACTAATCTTTTCCATTTGGTTTGCGATTTTCAACGCTTATCGTTTTTGCAGGAGTTAACCCCAACCCTAACCCTAAGTTAAGCTTAGGGTTAGGGTTAGGGTAAGCTGGGGGTCACTTCCAGGATAAAAATTTTATCGTCTACAAAACTTTAAACCAACTTTCCCTGAATTTCTACGACGATACTAATCTTTTGCATTTGCTTTCAGGTTCTGAAAGCTTATCGTTTTCCCAGGAGTTAACCCCAACCCTAACCCTAGGGTTAAGCTTAGGGTTAGCTTGGGGTGACTTCCAAAGTAAATATTTTTTAGTCTACACCAGTTTTAAAGATTTTTCCCTAAACGTCTACGACGATACTAATCTTTTCCATTTGGTTTCAGATTTTCAACGCTTATCGTTTTCATAGGAGTTAACCCCAACCCTAACCCTAGGGTTAAGCTTAGGGTTAGGGTTAAGGTAAGCTTGGGGTCACTTCCAAAATAAAATTTTTTTTGTCTACACCAGTTTTAAAGATTTTTCCCAAAAAGTCTACGACGATACTAATCTTTTCCATTTGGTTTCAGATTTTCAACGTTTATCGTTTTTGCAGGAGTTAACCCCAACCCTAACCCTAAGTTAAGCTTAGGGTTAGGGTTAGGGTAAGCTTGGGGTCACTTCCAGGTTAAAAATTTTATCGTCTACAAAAGTTTAAAACAAGTTTCCCTGAATGTCTACGACGATACTAATCTTTTGCATTTGGTTTCAGGTTCTGAACGCTTATCGTTTTCCCAGGAGTTAACCCCAACCCTAACCCTAGGGTTAAGCTTAGGGTTAGGATTAGGCTTAGCTTGGGGTGACTTCCAAAATAAATATTTTTTAGTCTACACCAGTTTTAAAGATTTTTCCCTGAACGTCTGCGACGATACTAATCTTTTCCATTTGGTTTCAGATTTTCAACGTTTATCGTTTTTGCAGCAGTTAACCCCAACCCTAACCCTAAGTTAAGCTTAGGGTTAGGGTTAGGGTAAGCTTGGGGTCACTTCCAGGTTAAAAATTTTATCGTCTACAAAAGTTTAAAACAAGTTTCCCCGAATGTCTACGACGATACTAATCTTTTGCATTTGGTTTCAGGTTCTGAACGCTTATGGTTTTCCCAGGAGTTAACCTCAACCCTAACCCTAGGGTTAAGCTTAGGGTTAGGATTAGGCTTAGCTTGGGGTGACTTCCAAAATAAATATTTTTTAGTCTACACCAGTTTTAAAGATTTTTCCCTAAACGTCTTGGACGATAATAATCTTTTCCATTTGGTTTCAGATTCTCAACGCTTATCGTTTTCCCAGGAGTTAACCCCAACCCTAACCCTAGGGTTAAGCTTAGGGTTAGGGTTAGGGTTAGCTTGGGGTGACTTCCAAAATAAATATTTTTTAGTCTACACCAGTTTTAAAGATTTTTCCCTGAACGTCTACGACGATACTAATCTTTTCCATTTGGTTTCAGATTTTCAACGCTTATCGTTTTTTGCAGGAGTTAACCCCAACCCTAACCCTACAACCGTAACCCCAACTTCTAACCCTAACCCTAAACCCAAACCGAGTTAGGGTTAGGGCTAGGGTTAGGGGTTAGGGTTAGAAGTTCGGGTTAGGGTTAGGGTTAGGGTTAGGGTTAGGGTTAGGGTTAGTTGGTAGGGTTAGGGTAGGGCAAATCAAGAAAAGTTGGGAAATCAACCAAAGTGGTCAAATGATCGAAAGTAGGCAGATCACCCAAAATAGGTGAATCAAAGAAAGTAGAGAAATCAACCAAAGTAGGCAAATCAACACAAGTTGGCACATCAACTAAAGTAGGCAGATCACCAAAAGTAGGCAAATCATTAATAATAGGCAGATGATAAAAAGTAGGCAGATCATCCAAAGTAGGTATATCAACCAAAGTTGGCTGATCACCAAAAGTAGGCAAATCAACAAAAGTAGGCAGATCAACAAAAGTAAGCATATCACCCAAAGTAGGCAAGTTTTCCACGCGCTTAATAATCCCGGGGGGTACTACTGGGAATTCTCGATAGGGTGTCCGTCCGGTTCTCAAAATCGGTTCTCTTATATACACCCTTAGGATCTGTCAACGGAAACGACACTGAAAAACTGACTTCGAACCCTTTCAAACTTTTTTGCCTTTATTGCAACTCGATCCAGTCTTTAATGAAAGTGGGCAAATTAATCGAAACCTGTTTGTTATTTTTTTTCGTGCAGTTTGACGACAAAGGACCTGGAAATGACGTTTGGCAACGTGTTGTTTTTTTCAGTTTTGATATAACAAAGTTGTATAACGAACGATTTTTTGTTTATTAGCCTACTTTGATTTGCCGGCTTTGGTTGATTTGTCTGCTTTGGGTGATCTGCCTACTTTTGTTGATTTGCCTACTTTGGGTGATTTGCGTTCTTTGGGTGATCTGCCTGCTTTTGTTGATTTGCCTACTTTGTTTGATCTGCCTACTTTGGGTGATCTGGCTACGTTCGTTGATTTGCCGACTTTGGGTGATCTGCCTACTTTTGTTGATTTGCTTACTTTGGGTGATCTGCCTACTTTTGTTGATTTGCTTACTTTGGGTGATCAGTCTACTTTTGATCAACGAACGTAGGCAAATCAACAAAAGTAGGCAGATCACCCAAAGTAAGCAAATCAACAAAAGTAGGCAGATCACCCAAAGTCGGCAAAGAGTATGCTGACCAAGGATGGGCGTATCAGCCAATAGTAGGCAGATGAACCAAAATAGGCTGTTATTTCGTGTCGTTTAATCTGTCTTATGTTGGTTAATTTTTGTGGAGTTTAATACCAAGATTGACAGCGAATTAGAACATTGTTGTTTTGACGGACGTGAAATTCGGCAGTTTCAAGTCGTAGTCATGCGAAGACGGCAAAGAAAAGTACAAAAAAGCGTCAATCATGTGTAACGTTTTGTCTTACTGGTCCATTTTGTTTTGCCGTTCTCGGTGCCATCATCTTCGTTGTTACCTTAGCTACCTAATGACTGTGCGCAAGGAAAAGAAACAAACACAAAAGATCCAGCGACTTCATGACACAGATTACATTAATCCAAAGTTTATTTTTTCAACCTGATAAATGTAACGTTTCCAACCAGTATATAAACATTAAGCTTATAAACGTTTATTTTCTTTGCGATTAACTTCTGTCCATGAAGACATCCCTTGACTGTAATCAAGAGTGCTGTGATATGATCCATTATTAAATGTCTCTAGTTTAATTGATTTGGTTTGTAAACTTGCAGAAACAAAATACAGGAATAAAAATATAAATTCAAGAAAGAATGCCCTCGTAAATCACAACTTGAAATGCAACACAGATAATTTCTAAGCCATCGGAAGTACTGATCATACGCGACCATTGTCTGGCGCGATTTAGCGCAACGAAAAGCAGCCACGCATTTTAAGGATTGCGTTCATTGAGTGACTCTTGATAGCAGAGTTTATAACCAACCCAAGTTACTATTTTTTAAATATCTCATCAAGCCTTTTAAGACGGTGCTCATGAGCACTGTGATCTCTAATGGTCTGGCTGCGTGCCTGCAATGACAGAAGGTCAGCATACTCTTTCTGGGTAAACTTAGCACCTTGCTCATCAATAGACGTCAGTGTTTCCTGTTGGGGAAATATAACACAACATTTGCTTGAGAGGAACTATTTCTTCTACAATCAATAATAGTAACAAAACATTTCATCAGACCTTTAGTACTCCATACCAAGTCCTATTTCAAACGCGGAGTCACCGAGGCCCCTTCCACAAGTATCCGGATATTTTTGAAAACGGATATTTTTTTCTCCGTTTAAGCCTTCCGTGCACATGTAAACGCAACCTGGTTCCCAGGGTTAAACCTGGAAACGAGGTTGACGTAAACGATGTCTTTAGACACAATAAACACAGGTGTTTTTAAACGATCCCTTGGGTGGAGACTTTTATGAAAACGCCGGATTGCCGTCTTCGAACACGAAGGTTTGCGAAAGTAATTACGTGTGGATGCGCACTTTTTTGAAAACGGAGACAAAAAATCTCGTATACGTCAAGCCGTGACCTTAAAGGCACCCTCATTTCAGTGAAGGGGATGCAAGATGGCTCCATAGATCGGGAAAGATGATAAACTAGGGGCGCTTTCGATTCCGCCCAAAATTCCGGAAATTTCGGTTAGAAATCAAGGTGGTCCACTTTGACCCGTCCACTCATTTCGGTCGGTCGGACCGAAATGTCCCTTTTCATTTGACAAAATTGTTGTCGCCGGTACCCTTCTTTTGCATCCAGCTTACAATAACAATAACTAAACGCGCGGTGGCCCGGGTCGGGTCTGTGCAACCGGAATGTACCGTTCCATTGGGCACACTGAATTTTCCCAAATTTCAAACCGGAAAGCGAGCCTGAAGTCGTGGTGGATATAATATATGCCCTGGGTTGTGTCCCCATAAGGCAAAGACTAAAATTTTAATTAGCAATTAAGTTGGAAAGAACAAACTTACGGCTCAAGTTGAATTCACTTTAAAAGTTTGAGAAAGGACCAGGGCCTATCAGTTATGAATGACATTTAAACAAAAGGAGGAAGAACCTGGCTCGATTCCTGGTCACGAAACTCTTTCTTCTCGTTAAAAGTTCAAAAATAATCTAAATGTCATCTTTCAAAGACTCGACTTTCCACCGCTCTCTCGGTCCTCCCGACTGTTTACCAAAGATAAATTTGCGAGTCCTTTTAGGTTTATGTGTGATTGGCTGATTGAACTAGCAGAAACTGAGGGAGATTTGGTACTTACATCAGGATTTGAGTAAAGCAACTCGTAGTACTGGCGCGCTCGGTCAAGATCCGCCTCTCTCGACATGGTGATGTTTGTCAGGTTTTGTTGGATAGCAAAGATATTTCGGCACCTGTAAAATACCCGGAAAAAAGGAATTATGTGTCATTTGCTGCGTCATTTAAAATTATTTGCTTTAGCACGAATAAAACCCCCTACACTTTGGTTGGATTCTTTGTCCAAAGAGTACTCAAACTATCTGAACAAGACGGGGCGGGAGGTTAGGGGGTATCACCTCTTCAGTGCAAACGCCTATTAGAGATGATAAACCACTGTCACAAGAGCTCTGTGCAACAGAATAATGCTGTATTTCAGTGCAAATGAGAAGACAGTTCATCGCTTTGTTACCCCTGACAGTATGTCGCTGTTAACCATTTAAGCAATTGCCCATTTTATGGTTACAGGTGAAAACGAGGCTGGAGTTGACCTTGTTTTGATACAACCCTTCCTTCCAACCCTGCTTTATTATGTCAATCATGTCGTTCTTATGATAACTAGTATTTTTTAAGCATAATTTCCATTAAAAAAAGGAACGAGATGTGTATCAAAACAAGGTCAACCTCAGCTTCAAGTTCATTCAAAGGCTAGGATACTAAGCCCACAACTGTAAAATGAGAAAAATAAATGATAAGTGTAAATTGGGTCGAGAGAGAGAATGCGAAGCAAGGTTTCTTGTCGATAAAACTAATAGATATAATGACAAGACCAACAGGCACTCAAGTCCATCCATCCATTGCTTGGCCGCTGCGCCCTCATGGCTAGACTTTAAACATAACTTACGGAAAAGAAAAAGAGCGACCATTATTAAAAAGGGGGGAAAGGATTTCTCTCCTTACATTTTCTTAATGCCATTTTGATTGATCCTTTTGATCTCCGAAATATTTGAAACCAGAATCGACGAAACAAGGAAACCAACTCCTTCAAACAAATATCTGAAAACAAAAAAAATACAACAGTTATATCCTCCGGTGAACTAAATACAGAAAATGTTGCTCGCGTGTTGGCCAGCCGACCCTCAGCTGGGCTTTCTATGTAATGAGTTGATGAGGTAAGATTAGGCTGTCTTACATCATGGGATATTCTGCATAAGCTGGCATTAGGATCGTTAGCTCCCATCTCAGCAAAACCGCAATAGGCCATGTTTCAGGCAACTTATCTCGAATTTTTGTTGCTACACAAATTACAGGAAGAGCGTTACACTCCGTGGTTCTTGAAATCCTCGCTGCAGCGTTAGGTGTATCGCTGCGTAATGTACAGCCAAGTTCTACTTCTCAGTATGTTATACCATGGGCCACTTTTTCAAACATCATAAAGGAAAACAAAACTGATTGCGAGACAAGTTGCAAGAGACAGTGTTCAGTGTTTTCCCCAGGTGGGGGGTACTCAACCAAATTTTGTACAGGAAGGCTCCGCCCCGTAGTCCAACACCTTATCCAACTCTTTTTATATCGTTTTTGACAAAAATGGTGCCTCTTTCACACACTGGTTGAGAGCACTGCATCCCTTTTAACTACTGTAAATTCACCGTCTTTTAAAAATAAATATAATCACACTGAACCAGGAAGTTTTCTTGTCTTTTTCACAGCCATAAAATGCACCTGTCAGCCATTTTAGGTCCTCTCACAAAACCCAATGACAGATTTCCGTACCCTTTCTTGTACTTCATCTAGTGAAGTCACTACCCTTTGATATACCTGAAGCCTAAAAAAGGTACCCCCTTGGGGTGGACTCCCTGGGGTGTTTTCACACTCAACACAACCGCTGGCTTTGTTTGTCAATTTACCTGAACTTGTAATGCCCCATACAAGCCGTCGCTATCTCCTCAAAGGCCGACAAACTTTTGTTCAGATTGTTGACGTTGGAATCTGGGTCCATAGCATTAGAGCTGCACATGTAGGAAGACTGAAGCATACAAAGAGTGAGTTAAAACAATGACAGGAAAACCATAAACTAATCAGAAAACACAAAAGACTTCAAAATAAACTGAATTTTACCAGTTAATAAGATCGACGAGAGACGAAAACCTACTTTGTGGTGCTTATCTACACCGTTACATTGATTTAAGGTGGCGCTAAATTCTAAGTCTGCATATAAAATCCTGAGGCAAGGCCATTCAAATGAAAGCTTCTGAGCAGTACTTTCCTATGGTGCTATGGTGTTACTTGTTATGCTTAATTAGGGTTCTTCTTGCTTTTGAATCAGTGGATTAAATCGTGGAATGCGATCATTACTGATTCGTTTTATCGTTCAAAAGACTTTATTCATGAGATTGTTTGATGCTGAGTAAAGCGAAAGTCGCTTACTTCCTGTACAGCCTTCATGAGGTAGTAAAAACAGTGGCATCGGATCTCCAGGTGAAGCACGAGCAAACATGATTCAGAGATGTTCTGAAAGTCTTCGGCGAGCGTCGTCAGAGATCTGATGGATTGAACCAAGTAGAAACACTGTAAACAGTAAGAAATTTATACACGGACGTATGAAAGAGGCTACCCCATTACCCACAATGCAAGTTTTCCACCCTAAAAGGTCCAGCGGAAATATTGTCAACTTTGTCTGCAATAGTTTTGCCCGGGAATGGATATTTAGTCCTGACAGGTCGCTTCAGGGTCTTTGAGGATATAAATTTCTCCGCACTGAAATGTTTCTAAATAAATGATCGTTTTAAGCTAAAACGTATGGCAACTACAAATATTGATTGAGTAAAAGAAAACCAGACGAAATTCGACACAAACTTAAAAGGCAACCTTTGCTTAAGGAAATACTGAAAAGTGACGGGGTATGTTGTATTAATCGATAGAGGTACAAAAGGTCAGAAAATGCGTTGCCCATGCCAAGCGCAAGAGTCGGGCACAAAACGCGGGAAAACGTTAAGCCCATGCCAAACACGGGAGTGGCACAAAGGGCGGGAAAACGCGCTTACACCTATAAAAGCCGAACTTTCTGGACAACCAAAAAAGTCCCCAATCGACAACCGGTCATCAAAAATATTTTGACGTCTGATAATAAAAGTTCTCTAATATAAACGTTTGAAAATACTCACTTTAGGATTTCTTCAGAGACTGGCGGAATCTCTTGCTGAAACGTACAAAAAACACACAAAAGTGACAATGAACATGTACACTTGACATTTATGACTAGATAGATGCACATAGATTCAGGCAAATATAAAACGCGTGCAAGACGGATGAGGAAACGCACTTGACTTATTCTTTCTCCCTTTCGTCGCCTGCCACAAAGGCGGCTTAGGATAAAAATTCATATCCTGAAGGCTTTATCAGAAATCGGCTGTAAAAGGAAAATGCAGCGCTGCTAAAACCCAACATTGCTTCTAAACGTTCTTTAAAATACTAGTAAGTATCCAGGTTAAGTTTCCTATTTTGCCGCCAACAGTCATATATTTTAAGACAAGTATATGGTATGTAATATTCCGTTTGGGAACCTTCTTCCATACAACAATTAGCAACACCTTCTCTCCACTAAAATGTATAACAGCTTAATACGATTTGTGTGTTTTGCTATTTCTCAGTTTTGTCAAAAAGTACGAGAATTACCTGAAACTTAAACTTAAATTTTCCTCAAAGTTTTTACGGTACGCATAGACTTAATGAAGATGAGGATAAGCATGTCAGAGAGGCTACTTCAGCTTTACAAATGCCTTAGAGCATTAAGTGTTGGCATCATGGCATTGACTTTAACGCATTTCGTATTACAAGAGATACGTCTGCTAACAGACTGAACAAGCCTTTGTTCACTTCGTATCATTACTTTAACTTAATCAATTTCATTAAGAAAGCCCGAAATTCTGCTCATTTGTAAGAGAGATTAGCTATCGCGAAGGGCTTTCACTAAAAACGGTAGCATTCGAGTTTCTTTACGGTGGCTGGTGAGGAATTTATTAGACTTCTTTAACTCTGCTCTGATATCTCCGAGTTGCAGTTGGTTATTGTTAGAGAAAATAAAATTTAGCACCCGAAAAACCAGGAATACAAAGCCAAATGAGAAGTTATTCGCCTTAGTTCCTGTTTAACATACCATTTGCTATCGCAAATTTAATTACACGTTTAATTCATGGGAAGTAAATAGTTTACACTTTCTGATTATTTTATACAGCTTAGTAACACTAACTTACCCAGTTTCTACCATAAACGTACGCAATTCCAAAGCCACTTTTGACTTCTCTCTGTTTCAAGTTTAATATCGTGTCATTTAATGCATAAATTAACCATTTTAATTCATTACTATTAAATTGATTTACCATTTGCTGAGATACGTTATATAGTTCAAAGCATTTATTATAATATCGTTTTCACACATGAGGGTAAGTTACGTCGCAGAACGGTCTTCACTTAAGTTTTTCAAAAGTATCTGGTTTAATTTTGCACTGCTGTGCTTTTTGATTTATTGACTAAGCAACCTCGCTTCCCCGTTTTCCACCAATCAGATCCAAAAGAAAAGCGATTGCACAAGGTTTCCCTGTACTTTCCTCGAGCTATGATTGGTTCACTGGAGTGACTAGGGTAAGTGAAACCGGCCAAGATTATTGTTTTGCTGTTGGCGTGCCAACGGACAGGAGAAAACCACTCTGCGCGAAGGTTAATAGATTATTATAGAGTGAAACCTTCATAAGTTAGGTTGCATTTGTTAAAAGCATCAATTTCAGTTATTTGTAGCTAAATGAGTTTTCAGTTATAAGATACGACCGCTTAGACATCCTCCTTCAACAAAAAAGTATTAACAATATTAGCATTAATATTTGAGATGGGTGAGGTGGTTTAAAATTGTGCCAGTTTTATATGAGGTGCTTAGAGTGAATAGACTGCATACTATGTGACACGCATTCATGTTTAGACAGACTAATTCATCAAATAAATACTGCAGCTTAAACAACGGTTGAGTCTTTATTCAGCTGTTTTCTTTGGAAGAAAAATCCGATTTCCTGAGGTACAGGGAAAATACCCTCCGTCCCATCCACAACGGTAGCCTCATATATTGTTTTTTAGTTGCTTGAGCACACACTATTTTAGACTATAGTCAATGGAGAAGACATGGCAAACATCAAACATAAAAATAACACTGGCATGGTTGCTATAGCCAGAGGTTTTTGAAATTCCCTGACTTTTTCCTGACAAACGCAAAATTTCCCTGGACAAGTGAATCAACAATTTCCAAATTTGGTCCTGCTAATGGACTCAACGCACCCCTCACAGCCATGCTCTCCACCCATTATGCTTTTAGCAAGTCACATGTAATGTACATGAATTGATAGTTCCAGGATATAATGTGCAAACAGGAGTGATTTGTTTGAAAACATAACATCAGCTTGTTGTTCAATAAAACATGATTCATGTCCGTAAAAAAGTACCAACTGAACGTGACTTTAAAATTTCACTTTTCCCTGACTTCTTTCAAAGACTTAAATTTTCCCTGACTCGTAGTGAAATTCCCTGACTTTTCCGTGACCTTGAAGAAATTTTATTTTCCCTGACCATTTCCTGACCTGTGGCTACCATGACACCATGACAGCTTACGTTAGGAGCTCACTGACGGTTCACAATCCTTCTTTTTTGTTCACAAATTGACAGGGAATAAATTATTGAGACGTTTTTATTGGCCAGTAAGATCAAAATGATAGGAATGCTATTGAACGTTGTGCACCGTCAAGTCGACAAAAACATATATCAAAGGTGTCTGAAGAGCTTCATAACCAATTCAACTCTATTAACTATGCATAGACACAAAGCAGAACTTGAAGTAAAGTGTGTAGAAGCCCTTACAACTACAGTCTGCTACACAGCCGTTTTAAGTGTCGTCATGCAACGCTCCTCCCCACAAAGGGAGAAGCGTGACGACACTAAAAACGGCTGTGTAGCGGACTATTACAACTATGAATCACCCCATTCTCCTAAAACCGTCTCCAGAACACAGATGCAGAGCTCACCGCTTTGATTCTTTCTTGGGTATCAGACGATACCAAGCTTATAGATGTGGACTGTGCTGTTAGGCTGGTGGTAAAACCTCGAATATGACCTGCCAGCCATTCCTGTCAAAACAACGAAGTGAGAAACTTACATCAAAGCCTTTTCCCCTGGATGTCATACGAGGCTGCTCATGCAAGGCGAGTCTAGCGTGGTGAGAGATCTAATGACCTGAGGTGAGTCTCTCACAGTGCGAATGGCAATTTACGCGAGATGAAAAATGCGTTTACCTTACAGTTCACCCAAAACACAGGTATCCCAAAACGCAGATCATCATCATCATCAAGTAATAATCATACATCAAAAATATAATATAAATCATAATAATCATAATCACAGTCCTAAACATAACCACTATCATAATCATCAATATCATCATCATAATCATGTTATTCCTTTATTCACCTTCGGTAGTATTTATAGTGCAAAAGCCAGTGGGGCCGAGAAAACAACTGAAACAATCAATTGTAGTAAACATAACAGGGCTACGAAAATCAACTGGAGGTAAACCAGTTGGCTATTTATTCAACAAGCGTGATCGAGGATGTCAGCTCGGGACTACCGAGAACAAATCGGGCCAGCAGGGCGGCACTTGAACTCGGGGACTCCCGAATGCAAGTCCGGCACTCTAACCACTCGGTCACGCTGCCTCCTAAATTTTTCTGGTTACTTAAAAACATATGGGGCGAAGCGAGAGACTGAGTCACCTCAGGATGGCAGTGTGTGTCACGCAAGGTGAGTAACACTAATACTCGGCCTTTCTTAATACTATCACCTCCTTACCATACTCTCCTGAAGATTTGCCAGTGTTCGTAGGTCGCGTGTTTCAAACAACACCTCGCTATCGTTAAGAGTGTGTTTCGCCAGATTGTCCGTCAATATATCAGTCTCCTGTATTAAAAACGGAACAAAATAAGACGTGTAGTGTAGTAACAATAGTAGTTCCTTCCTGTCTCAACTATAGCCGAAAACATGACCAAACATGCTAAATTAATTGCTGAATTTTTTAATCGAATGACTGGTAGCTCATCCAAAATCAACAAAAGCAAAAGGAACTTGCTCCAGCGTTACCTTTTGGTTTCGTTTTCTAGCTGCTTCAACATCCTGTTCATCGTCCTCCTAAAAATGACGCATCGTTAGTAGCCATAACCCTCTTAGATTGTTTAGGAGTAGTCATTTAGCTATAAATAGAATTTAATTGAAGGTGTAGCGACATCAAATAGTAAAACTAACAACTAGATTCACATGCATATGAACCTAGTTGTTTGGCCTTTCCAGGGTTGGAACAAAGGGCACGAGCTTCTATAAGCTTGTCTCCCGGTATTTTCATAGGAAACAAAAGGAAAATTAAACCAAAATAACTTCTTAGCTGTTCAATTTCCCGCCTCCAAATTCCATATACCCGGCAACTTGGAATCTTGGTGAACAGCCCTGGCTTTTGTGAGGGGCTTGGTTCAGACTCCTGTAGAAGAACTTTTAGCGATGGAAAGGATCACAACTGAAGAATGTACCAATTGTTTGAAGTACTACGAGAATAAAATTCATTTGCATTACCCAAGTTGTCCTACCTTAGTTGACTAAGACCGGTTAATTAGAATCGCGAAATTCAAGAAATCTTACTTTTCTTTGCCGATGTGTGTGATGGTGATGAAGACCTGGCCAGTTGGGCAACGACCTGCAAATAAACGGACATTACAAACATTAATTTATAAACTACCCCTGAACGAAATTCCTTTTTAAAGACTGAACAGTGCAGTCTAATAGACAGCGTGCAAAGATGGTCGCGTCCGATAGCCCGGGACTAGTGAATTTTGCTATCCGGGTAGTGGATCCTGTTGTTAACTTGCCCGATAGCCCACGAGCAAGCTCTCGCGGGGCGCTCTGGCGGCGGGGTAAACAAGTCTCCTTCCCCTCTTCCCTCCCCCACCCCCGTACCCCTGGGCGCCCCAGGAGAGCTTGCTCGCAGGCTACTTGCCCGACGGGCAAGTGAACTTTAAGGGAATTCAAATTACAGAAGAACTGTAATCAATCCTGCTCATCAAAAACATTTTTATGGCTAATAAAAATGAATCTTGGGCTAGTACATGCTAGCTGCAGCTTGCTCAAATGACAAGCTGTAAAAATGATTTTCTTTACACCCTGATCTAAGATAATTTTGCTGTTGATACGTAATGTTAAATTTTACTGCGGTTGGCTGACCGGTCTGATCTGAGTAACTTATCTTACCTTAAGCAGCGACTGATGTCCTCATCTTTTGTCCAGTTAGCGCTAAAAACACGAGTCACGCCCTCAGGACTGCACCGTAAAAGAGCTGCAATCAACCATCATCCGATACGAAAATAGCATTTAGAGAAGAAAAAGTAGCATTTTGGAAGAGGTAAAGAGTATCCAGGAGGGGAATGAGAAATATCCATGGAGAATGGGTAGTACTCATGGGGAGTGAATAGTATACAGGGGAAGTTAGTAGCATTCACTAAGGGGGGGGGGGAGGAGGATAGTTATCAAGGGGAGTAAGACTGACAGTCCCCTTCTCCTCCTCCCCAAGAACGATCAATTTCTCAAGATAGACCACATCAGCTGGGTAATGTCCCTTACTCTTCCCTAACAACAGTGTAGGTTCTATTACGTCCCTTTTCAAAAGCCATTTTTCTTAACCTTTGATTCTAATTTCTCCTGGATACAACAGTCGACCTCCCGAGAGAAACTGAAGACACAGCTTATGAAAAATTTTTGGGGGTAAATAAGCTGTATTATGGGCAGTGTGAAATTGGCCTATTGATAAGAAAGGATGAGGCTGAAAAAAGACCAGCACCTCAACGTCACAAGATCTAAACAGTGTTTTAGAAACCCTGGCAGGTAGTGAGTCTGGCCGGGAATTGAGCCCGCGACCCCCGGTCAGCAGTCCGGCGCTCTTTCAGCCGGTAAGTTATCTGATAGTGAGAATATGTCATTTCCGAGTTCCCCTCTGTATGAGGTTAAGTGCTCAGTCTTTCATATAGAAATGATTTTTCATTCTAATGCAAATAAAACTCATTTTCACAAGCAAGGTTGTGCACTTGGCCTCATTTTGAAAGTGAGGGTTTTTTGAACTCGGAAGTGGCCTACTGTTTTTAACGACAAATACACCACATTCACGGATATTGAGGTAGCTTGTCACATCACTGGACAAGTAAACTATGGGATAGTAAGTGGCAATAACCTTTGTATACATCGTAACAACTCTCTTTGAAGATAGTAAGCATCTTGCAAACCATTTCAAGGAACTGGGGTGCATAATTGGGTAAACTGTGCATGAGATTCCTGAGATCCTGTATTAACTGTTCCACTGTTGCTGTGCTCTGAAGAAACAAAAAGGAAACTCGACTAAAAAAAAAACAATACAGAAGACAACAATAATAGTACCACTCATACGACGAAATATCAGACCCATCTTAAGACAAGACAAGAATTGTACCAAATGTACAAGTTTCTACGAATGAGACTTGGCTAAATCGCGCTTATTTAACACGTAACGAAATTCGTGCTTAGGCTGTGTTAACACAATACCGGATAGGTTTTGGTGCCGACATGAAAGGCAATCCGGTATGCTATGAACAGCAACAGCACACAACTGACACAAGGCGTTTACACACATCGAACATTGTGCCGGAGGGGTTGGCCGAGAGGGTCTGGTTCTCTAAATCCCAGTCCTTACTCCTAATCCTAAATATTTACTACCGTCTCAGTGGTTTCCAGTCCACTTTCCTAACTATTCACTTCCGGTACCGTCCGACTACCTGTTAATTCTACACCAAAGTGTGGCACAGAACCTATTCGATATGTGACGCTCGACCGGCGCGGGGTAACTTCACTCTGTCATAGAAATTGCGCCGCCATAACCATTCTTGTGTGTGACCAGAAGCCCTATCCTGAATGATTTTCGTGCCGGCGCAAAAACTATCTGGTAGAGTTTGAACCTAGCCTTAATTTTGGACTTCTTTTGTAAGTCACGTTTTAGTTTTTTCTCGTAGAAATGGAGCTAATATTGTAACGACGTATTTCTGCCTTTTCACCAAATACTGTAGAGTAATTTATCATTTTCTACGACAGAATGTTCCGCAAAATAGTTACAAAAACGTAAATAACATATAATTATTTTCACTTCTGCAAAAGGATAAACACCCCGAAGGATACCTGCAGTAAGGGTCTACTCGCTCCCAGGACCTTCAGACTGTTGGTATCAGTGGTTCTTCTAAACGTGTCTCGATCTAAAGAAAGTGAAGAAAAAGTAGCGCCATTAAAACTAAACTTTTTCCCTCCTGGCTGAAAGAAGGGCTGAAGTTTGCCGAGGGAAACCAAACCTGCCGGACCCAAAAAAATTGAAAAAATCTTGTCTTTGACAATTATCCCCTAAGTACCATGGGTAACGTCCCTCAGTTTTTCGCGCATACCAAACAAGATTCCTTCCATCAAGGGAACTATAGCAACAAAGTCATGTCTTTGAAAACAAGCTATAAATTGCACTGTACCTTGAGTAACTTCACTCAGTTTTTCTCGAATATCAAACAAGATTTCTTCCACAAAAATATCTTTCACATAATCGGTAATAAAGCCATACAAGGTGCATCTCATTCTGCAAAGGAAAATACAAGTTTACGAGCTGTTAAAAAAAAAGATTGACTAAATCATGTTCGACAGGGAAGAGGAATGCCATATTTCACTTAGATGTATTAAAAAAAAAATAAACAAATAAATAAAACAAACACACACTTACTCTCCTTGCATTTTAATGGCTGCTTCAATTTCACCAACAAAGGTCATCAGAGGGATGAACACAACTATATAAATATAAAGGCATATTAGTGATACCTCGACTAGCATGTTTTCCACGTCAAATGCCCGTGTATTTACAAATGTTGCCAGCCCCGCCAGTGAAATATGGTCGCATCAACTCATGGACTTTTCTTGACCAAATTATTCTGTCAAGCCAATGAAAGAATTACACTGGGAAATAGGAGTCTTGACATATTTTTTCTTAAAAAGTGCCTCCTTGTTCACTAACCAACAGGTCAGTTTTGGAACAAGTTTCTGGTCTGAACCGAGGCTGTAGAATTAAGTTCGAAGAGTGACCAACATCAATATTCTCCTAACAACATCAGTACATAATTAAAAGAAAGTTTATGAGAATAAATAAAATGATCACCTAAGGGAAAAGGCTTTGAATTATGAATAAATTTTCTCAACTGATTCTGTGAGGAAATGTATGGAGATCAGTTTGGAGAATTTGTATGTGGATACTGGGGCTTAAAGGGTTAACAGCCTTTCCCTATTCCGCCCCGGTGAGCAGGCACAATGAAACGAGGTAAATTTTAGGGTATTGCATTTTGTCACCGCAAGCCTCAAGTTGGTGTCTTTGTTAACGAGAACGCAGGAACGGTATTCTGGGACGGGACCACACCTTACAGGGCCCAGCAGTTCAAACGTTGGGTGGAGCTATGCACTGGATAAATCACTATCCAGTGAATAAGGGAAACAAATTGCGTTATCCACTGAATAGCGTTATTTACCTTTTAAACATCTGGGGCTAGGTCAAAAATATACGGTGGTGCCTAGGAGTGTGATACTCAAAATTTAATGCTTTATACCTGTAATATTTCTGGGGTTTGGTTTACACAATAGCTGTGGTTTAGTGTTGTGTAGTGGCTCTCCATACGTGTCATCATCGTCCTCATTCTAAAACATTAAATATGACAGGTTATCCTTGGATTTAAGCCACAATGCAGACTAGACTCAGGGTGCAAAGAAAGTCAGTTTTACAGCTTGCCATTCGGACAAGCTGTAGCTAACATGTACTAGCCCGAAAGTCATTTCAGCTAGCCCGAAAAAAATTTGATGAGCAGGATTGATTACAGTTCTTCTGTTATTCGAATTCCTAAAAAAATATCACCTGCCCGTCGGGCAAGTTAAAAACAGAATTCACTAGCCTGATAGCAAAATCCACTAGCCCCGGGCTATCGGACACTACTTTCTTTGCACGCTGAGACTCTTGATTTTCACATACCGCTGTTCCAGCCATGCATTCCTGCCGTCTTTCTCTGATGTACGTGTTCATGCTTATAGCAGAAGAAGAACCTTCAAACCGATACAACGGAGTCTAAAAGTAAAAGGTGGCAAGAAATCACTAGAAGCTGGTTACAAGGACAAACAAATCCACCATCACGCCTGTATCATCAATGTACATATGCCACCCATTGACATTCCAGTACTAGCAGTATTGCAAATTGTTTGTCCCGTGAATTTGATTTAATGACCAGCCTTAGCTTCCACGACGCTCCTATAGCTCATTGGTAGAGCACATGGACTAGTAACCAAATGGTAATAGGTTCGACAGTTATCATAAAATTCATGTAGCCAGTAGGTACTTTCCGACAAGGCTATGGTGATTCACCAAAAAAAAAACAGTGGAAAAAACCTGGAAGAATCTTGGACATTAATATTATTAAGATATCTGAAATGCCACTACTCATTTACAGATTGCCTTGAAATAAGGTCAGGAATTGAACCTGTGAAGTGCTGATTTAATCCTTGAGATAATCAGACGGAGGTCTGAGATATTCAAACTCTAGTACCTTTTTGATAAAAAAAGTGAAAACCAGGCATCTTACCCGTTCATCTGATTTTAATAGCCCTCGCCTCCTTAGTGTAAAGAATTCTGCCACATCGCTAAACAAAAACAGCAACAACGAAAAAAGAAAAATATTTATTACTCCACTTATAAGATGTCTTGCTGATAAAAATACAAAGAACATTGCCAAGAGCGATTAAATATCCTTGATCGCCAGATTTCCAGCAAACAACGGATATTCCATTAGTGGGGATGACTGGATGGACATCTCTTTTCAGCGTGAGGAGTTTGTTGGAAAGATTGAAATCTTTCTAATATCTGTGACAATCAAGATCTACAGATGTTTGGGGTCTGTAAAGTTCTTTGATTTATCACAAAAATGTGAACTTCTGTGCATTGTCATATATAATAATAGAGAAATGCAATGAAGAAAAGGCCTGGTTACCTTGAGGACTCAGAAAACGTCACTGGCCCTTGTTGAGTTGCAGTGTTTTGAACATCCAGGTAGTCACCTAGTAACACTTGAATCTGTAATAAACAGTAATACTGTTACACAAGCTGTTTTGGTGGGGCAATACTGATTATCCTTAACATTAGGTACAGTGCAACACAGATTTGACTACAGTAAACACTCGCTAATAGGAATCTAGTGGTTTAAGGTAAGGTAAGGTAAGGTAACGCCTTTATTTAAAGAGGGTAAACAAGGGACAGTTATGAAAAAACTGATAAACCTGTGGCCCTCTAAGAACCATCCCATTAGCTCTTCTTGTTGTGTAATCGGTAAAACCACTAAAACTAACCCTACAACAACGAACAGATCGCGTTTTATCATAAAAATGCATTTCCGATGAAATAAGCAAATTTACACTGTGCCATACACACTGAAGTGCTGTTTAATCAGTAATTATCAGTTGTTAAAGTGGTGAATTCAATATTCAATCAATCCCGATAACTTGAACCCCCGCTAACTCGAACCGTTTTTCATATTTTGCCTTCAGAGTTCGAGTTACCGGGGGTTCTACTGTACATCATTCTTATCTGCCAGCTTGCTGTGATTAACGTTGTACACATTTATCATTAACACTTGTTTGCCAAGATATGCCTATCGTAACTCTTGCGAAGTTTCCAGGCAACAAACCGCCATACCATTTGGAAATTGGTCGCGTCTGTGGGCCTTATTAAGTTGGTTCTAATCCTTTACTGTGAGAGGTTCAGTGATGGTTTGAGCTATGATTGCTAAGATTTCAACTTACGGCAAACTGGATCTCAGACCAAACAACATCTATTGTATAAATGTCAGTGTCCCCTAAATCCACCCGAGTGCCTGGTGCCTTCTGGAACATCAAGAGAAAAACCAGAGTAAGAGAGAGTAGGAGGCATTCCAATGAGAACGTTTTACATTTGTAATGTCATGAACGTTTGAGTGCTCAAAGGGGAATCAGACCTACGACAAATAGTGCTTATGCCCTCGTACCCCTGAGCTACCAACCCAACTGAGCATAGAGGTGGAGGGGGGGGGGGTATTCCACGTAAATGTGGATGGGGTGTACAGCTTGCTTCCTGAAACCAAGCCCAACCACTATTTCAGACCCAAACAGTTCTGGCCCCGGTTGTTCAAACGTTAGATAGCGCTATCCATCGGATAAATCACTAACCAACCGATAAGTATTAGGAAAACCAATTGCACTATCCACTGGATAGCGCTATCCAACGTTTGAACAACCGGGGCCAGATGTATACCCAATTTCAGACAGACAAACCACACATTACAACAAGGGAACAACAAGGGTCCAAAAATAACTAAGGAGAATTCACTGCAAAATGGTCAGACTTCCTAGTCTTCTAGGATAAAGATGGAAAAATTGTACACCTCATCTCACGGCACTTTACCGATCTAATGTAAAAGAAACCTCATCGCAAGTCAAACCAGAGTAGGGAGGCCCGGTGGTATGTTCAGCTTTTCTGGGATTGGTGCGGATTGACTATGGTTGATGCCAATGGGATGCCGACATGTTTCATCTCCTGCCACCATTTTGATTTATCATAGGAAACGAACTAAATTAAATTAAATCAAATTAAATTAAAGGTGACCTCCTCCGTCAAAACGTGCATACTATTAGTAAAGGAAGAACCTTCTGTAAAGTACCCTGTACATCTGTAAGTACTTACAATGATTCTGTTGATGGCTGAAAGCACAGTCTCATGAGCATGAGCCACGCCCCTAAACAAGTCAAACACCACTTCTAGCAGCTCAAACAAATAATGAGGCTGATTCTAAAAAAAGAATAAAAATGTATAACAAATAACAAGAAAAGGCAGAGCTATACAGTTCCAGAAATTTTACCATGTTTTCTAGAAGGGTGATGAGCATTATTTTAATATTAATTATCTTACGTTGTTTTTGTAGGAGGGAGGGGGTGGGGGCTTAAAGGAATCTTTGTGTCGTAAATTGTTTTTTAGGCATATTTTTCGGGGAAGCATGGGTGAGTGGTTAGAGTGCAAGAGGCTCAAAGTTCAGGTCCCACCCTCACTAGCTGCCAGCAGTATAATATGTTCTCAGTTAGGTCCTGAGTTAAACTCCTTGGCCACACTTCTCAATAGCTAACTGGTTTACCCCTGGCCAGCTGGAATTTTTACTTGTTAAATTGTTTGTTTCTGTCTATGTTACAGGGCATAAACAACTGGAATGACAGTACTTGCAGTTATCCCTATAAAGTCTTTGCTTGATTAATTTGCTATTTCCATTGCAGTTACCTGCTGAAGAATGATTTCTCCAGGCTGCCCAATCCTAAAAAATGAGAAAAAGAGAAGAATTAGGAAACTAATTTTCAATGTCGTAAGAAAATTCTCTTGGGCTTCATGATAATGTCCATCAATAATATTATTACGCTTATTTTCTTTATTGGGCCACATTATTACTTATAATTATTATAAGTAATAATGTGGCCCAATAAAGATCGAACTCCCTGTTCCAAAGAGAACTTAACATAATTCTAGTATCAAACTAAGTTATTTATAAGTATTAAACTCTATTTACCTTTTGGAGACAAGGGTAGTTGCTCTGTGTATTATCAACGACATCTCTATCTTCATTCGTTTCTTTATTGCCTACCAAAAAAGAAAAACAATAACACAAGTCAAATATAGTGTATTATAATGGTGCATTTGCGAGAGCACCATCCTATCACCAATATGGCCTGAGTTTAAGTCCTGGCCTTGGCAACCTATGTGAATTGAGTTCCCAAGTCGTAGCTGCTTGTCTCCTCTGCTCTGAGGGGTTTTACTCTTGTTACTTTGGTTTTAATAATAAATAGAATATGTGTGGAGAGAAGAACCCGCCCCCATAATAAATAAAATATGTGTGGAGAGAAGATGCCCCCCCCCCCAAAAAAAAAAAAAAAAAAATTCTGAGTTCAAGATGGGAATTGAACCCACGACCAAATCTAATAATTGTTTTATTATACATTGTTTTGAAGAAAATATCAACAAACTCACCATCGCAAGGAACCTGAATTGATATTGCTATTCATGGAAATCATGCATTGTGCACGCAACCTACATCTGCTAACAGATAACTAACTAATCTGTGGGTTGAGCTGATTTCCAAAATTAGCTGTAAACTAGGCTCTTAGCCAATAAGAAACTGAAAAACTGAAAACTTTATTTATACTTGAGGGTCTGGAGCTTATTAGGCTCATAGATTAAGTAGCTAATGAGTCGAGGTTAAAAACAAACAAAGAAGAAATGAACTGAATTTAAACTATTTACATCATAATGCGATATTGTTTACAGATAATGATTCTAAAAGGTACAATATAAATGATAGTCTAACAGTTACATAAAGAGCAGTTACATGCGTCAAAGGTGATCTTTCTGATGCGTTTTAAGAGGACAGATAGACCTAAGAAACAATTTAACCTACAACAGATATTTGAATCATTAACAATAAAGACAAAAAAATAGTTGAAGTACCTCAATTGCCTCTGGAATTTTTCCAAGAAGTGACAGTGATTCCATGATCACAATCATGAAGTGATCACTGTCTGCCTCAGGGTCAGCATTCAGGTCCTCAGTGACCTTGAATAAAACAAAAATAAACAGGTCAAATAAAAACACCACACTGTAATTTCACCTGGACACATTTTGTCGTTTTTTCAGGCTTTATATCTGAGGCTGGACACCTGAGTATGGGATATTCATTCAGTTTTGTCAACATTGAGTTCAATTCTCACCTGGAGCTCGAAATGTTTTCCAAGCATTCTTGTGTTAGAATTCTCCTTCTTTCAAATTATATTGAACAGTCTTGAACTTGTAAGCTGGTGGATGGCCGATTTTGAGCAAGTCCCCGATACAGTCCCCTAAAACCGGTGTAGTTATATATAATTTCGACCCTGCTCTCCAAAGAGCCTCCAGCAGCTCAGTGTTTAGAGCTTCCAAACAAGGAGGGTCGTGAGTTCAATTCTCACTTGGAACTAGGAATTTTTCTGAGCTTTCTGGGGTTAGAATTCTCCTTCTTCCAAATTACAAATTAACCTGCCTTGACCTTACTAAAAAATTATTAAAATGAATGCTGCCTGATCTAGATATTTTAATTAAAATAATACCATACCTCAGTTGAAGAATTTACTGAGGTGACTGACGACATTGGTTCCATCAACAGAGTTCCTAAAAAAAGAATGTAACTTTTACATATCCAGTTTTGACCATGTGCAAGGTCTACATGGCAGGATATTAAAAAAAAGTATTTTGTCCTCAATATCCAGTTGTGTTGACCTTGGGCATGGTCAAAAGAGAAAAGAGAACAAGTTGGCCACGAAAAGACACATTTACATGGATAAAAGATAATTTGGTCCTGAAGAAGCAATGAGGACAATCTTAGACAGACAAACACATCATGTACCCACCCACCAGCCCACCCTCAGAACACAGATTCCTACTTCATCTTCAGTTGACAGCTTGCAAAGCCAGTCATTTTATGAGGTAAAACTTTGTTAAGGACAGTTTTCAGGGGCACCCAATGAGGATATAGTTCAAAACCACTTAACATAGCATTGTTGAATGTAGTTTAATATTCAAACGGTAGATATAGGCATATTTTTATCCCCTAAAAACTTTCCATCTGTTCGGATTTCCTAGCTGAAAGACTAGTGATCCGAAAATTATAGGGAGAAAAACTTACGTTCTCGAAAATTTCAGCCAGGAAAAGGCTCCCGAAAATTCTAGGTGGCCTTTTTTACGGTAAAAATCCGTTAAAAATGGGTAATTATACCATTTTGTAGATGTTCGAAAATCCTAGGAGAGGCAGGCAAGCAAGAAATTTTAAAACAAATGCTCCGAAAATTCTAGATCTCAAATCGTCTTCCGAACAGATATTTTCCCGAAAATTGCCGTTGGGTGCCCCTGAGTTTCTATAGCTTTCTTGAATATCCAGGGAAATATACCTTACTTTCCTCAAACCTTTTAGCATGAACAAAATGTATATCAAAAGGTGTCACTCTTCTCAATCAACTCTACTGATATAATAATCATGACATTCAACATACTTCTGGGATGGCAACTTAAAGCGTCACTGACCCCCGAGGAAGTACTCCAAAAAGTTTTATGTTGGGAGGCTCCGCCCCACAGCCCAACCCCTTAACCTTTAATATACTGTTTTTGTACCCCTTTCAAATACCTTCTATTGACAAATGGTACTCCTTTCACATACCCACATGTACCCTGTACCTTAGACCTTTGCATCCCTTTACCTGCTATAAACACACTGTCTCCCTGTATAGGCCATTATATGGTTTACCCCCTCCCTCAAAAGCACTGACCAGAGAACAAAAACAGTTATGGGGTATATAGGAATTTTTCAACATAAATTAAAGCGTAAGTTGCAGCATTAGTATTCTAAACAAATTAGTAGTTGTACCATCTAATAACAAGTTTTACTTTTGTCTGAAGTAAGTTTTTAATTAAGGGGACGTAAGAATAGCAAATGTGTTGTCTTACTTGAAGCAGTTCGTGAGTGTGATTTCTTGAAGACTCCAGAAACACTGGAGGATGACACTGACAAAATAAAAATACATCTGTCATGAACAGTAAAGACTAAGAAGTTCTCAAAAGGCGCTTAAAATGTATTACAAAAGGAAACAAAATGACCTATGTGTAAAGTAATTATTTGGAGCAGAACTAATAATAGAAGTAGGACAAGGCAGATTCAAAAAGCGGCCATTGGATAAAGAGAATTGGGACCCACTGTTTGTTAAAAAATAGAGGATTGTTCTGGCCTGGTGTTCATAGAGAAAGAATTTAATTATATTAATTGCTGTTCTGAACCCACAGGCCACGTAATTTGCCCTGAATTTTGAAGTTTGTTATACTATAACATTAAAATACATGTATATTCAATTGATAATATTGCTGTTTTTAGAGATTCAGCATAATTTTATTTGGGACCCAGCATTTAACAAAGTAAAGCATGAAAAGTGTCATGGTCAAATATGCAAACCTTTCAACAAACTATCATCAGCCATATAAGCTGCAAGTTTGGTTCTTTTTTGCCTGCTCTTCTCCGACTTCAGGTAGAGATGAGTATTCAAATTCTTTATCAGTAATTCATGCTCCACCTAAAAAGCACAAGTCATTCAATTGCCGTCTTTGTCTCATGCTCATAGCTTGAGCTAAATAAGATTTACTCAGAATAATTATTACTTTAAGCACATTTTATTGAGAAAGCTCAACATTAATTTTACCATTCTATTACTTTGGGGGAGGGAGAAGGGGGACCAATGGCAATCATGCATCAAGACATGGCTGTGACATACAGGAACTCCAACAAAAGCAAGCATGCTGTTCATTCATTTGTTGCATTTTCACCATGTTAGAAATTAATTTTACTACTTTTTTTATTTCTATACACACAGTTTTTGTTTTGGGGAAAGACAAATGACTGTCAAAAAATGGCTGAGAATGGCTTAAAGAGCTGGCTATGTCACGGTATTTGCTGTCTTTTTAAAAAGCTAAATCTTGTCTTCTCATCAATTGAATTCCAAAAATAAGAGGTCAGTTTGTTATTTAAGACTATTTTTAGGCATTGCTACTCTAAGTAAATTCCTGTTGTTTATTTACTTAGAACTTTATTTATCAACTTTGCCAAGAGGCCTGGATTGCTCACAGAGCAAGCCCCACTACGAGTTCCAGAAAACAAAAAAGAAGAAAATTAGTAATAAAACTAACAGAGAATGACAATTAACTTTAGAAACGACTTAGGGAGGACATCGATAAAAAAATCAACAACACATATACAATCAAGCAAGCTGTTCAATGGCCGACTAGTGTGGCACTTAATACACACACTCTTAAAGGTGTTGTCTGTTGCAATAGATGGTAAGCTAAGGATGGAAATGGATTGAAACTTGAAAAAGTTGGGCCAACTTTTCAAGTTTAATGCTATGCATGCAACATCACCAAACAATTAATTATGATTAATACTCCATGATGAAATTTGCTTCATGTTCCTAAGGGAGCATTTTTTGTACAGTTTTAGGCACCAAGTACTAATGACTTAAGCACAAAATTGACCCAAAACAGCGATCGATATCCCTTTAAGCCACAAACTACCATTAGTTTAGAACCAAACTGACATACTACCTTCTTTCTTGCCTGCAAATCAAGTCTCAGATGCCGCAAAGCTTCAACTCCAGATAAGCTGCCTTCAAGTAGTGACACTGCAAGAAAATAAAACTCACACTTTTAATAACAAGTACATGTGATATACCACAATATAGTTATTGTTTTATTTGATCATGTATTTAAAATTATAATTATCATTATTTGGTATTTAATGTGGGCTCACGTCAAATCATTTTAAAATCTCAAAGTGATCATATTTTAAAGGCTAAGTAATTGATTTGTTGATTAATTTTTTTTTCAATCAGTTTCACTTTCTACGAAAAGAAAAAAATTAAAAATTGTTTCTTCTAAAGGAACTTCACAAATGGAAATACTACAGTTACATCCTGTGAACTTGGAAAAATAACAAAATACTAATTAATATATAATTTCATTCCATGACTAAATCAAATTATTAAATAAATCTTAGTAATTTAATTTGAAATTTAATAACTGAGTTCTAATTGCTAGCCTTAAGTCATTGTTCACCTGTGGAGACAAGAAGCTCTGTAGCATGGAGGTAATATTTCTTTTTCTTGTACTTCTCAATCTGTTCTGGCACATTCTTCACCTGGTCTCTAAGAACATATAAAAAGTAAGCAAAACTAAAAATTAATAGCCCATAGTGGAATACTAAACAATATTTGTGAACATATTAAAGGGGGATAATTTTCTACAACAGGAATGAGCCACAACATTGCAAAACCACAACAAGTTTGACAGAAAAGAATACAGATCCTCTGATTCTCCAAATTGGGTCAAAGTGGAGAAGGAAGTTTAAACTTTTTCTGTGATGGATCTCATGGTTAGGGATTTTGCCTGGTTATAAGAAATGTGAGTTCCTCAGCTACTTCAGTACGTAGAAACAAATAATTTCTTGACACAGAAAAGAATACAGATCCTCTGATTCTCCAAATTGCGTCAAAGTGGAGAAGGAAGTTTAAACTTTTTCTGTGATGGATCTCATGGTTAGGGATTTTGCCTGGTTATAAGAAATGTGAATTCCTCAGCTACTTCAGTACATAGAAACAAATAATTTCTTGACACAACGAAATTTCAAATTCCCAGCTACATTACCCTTGGGTACTTTGTACCATGTACATGGGAAAACAAGAAATTCCAGAAGGAAAATCAAATGGTTTACGCCATTCAATTTGGGAAACTTCAGAAAATATGGGCTGTGATTTGAGGTGATGCAATTTTTCTTCTCTGGTTTGAATACACTTTATAGCAGGTTGTTCTCCCACCATGCTGAATTTTGTAGTTCTATTACAGTTGTGAACAAGATTTCCAGTTGGGTGGCCTGTGTAAATCGTGGTAAGCACCCCTAATTTCCCATTTCCCTTCCTACTTCAGTTAATTTGTGAAAGCCATAACCTAGATGCCACTGTCATACGCTGTTAACTTTTTCATACATGTAGCCTGATAAAGCTGAACATGAAACCATGAACCATAGTGGAATATGGTATTCCTTACATTCTATCCAGGAGATTAAGCACTTCATTATACTCCAGTCCATCCATCCAGTATTTTTTCAGTTCTTCTCTCTTGCAGTGTAGTAAGGATTTGCATGCTTGAAGATGTTCTCTTAAGTTTTTCACTTTGTCAAGAGATGCTATCAACAACAACAATAACAATTACTGTGCTTTTCAAAAACATGCAAACTCTTAAGTTCAAAAGCCAACTTCACAAATGCGTTTTTCCCTGTTGTCAATCATAATTTCAGTCACAAGGAACAAACTTGAAACACAGAAACATACAAAACGGATTGAAATCCACCAATCACAAATCGCAAACAATGAAATTTTGAACCTGCTGAAGTAAACTTCTGTTTCCTAAGAGGTCTGCTTAGATGATTGACGGCAGCATAAAACGCATACATCGGTTGGCTTTTGAACTTTAGAATTTGCATGTTTTTGAAAAGTGCAGTAACAAAAGTCTAAACATCACATTTTATTGTATATCCTCATCTAATTGAAGCCCAAATATCCACATACATATTCTCCACACCAGTCACCATAATATTCCTTCCAAAGTCAATTACAGGGCGGATACTCCAACTAGGACAGTTGGAAGGCGTGAAGATAATTGTCCAATCAGAGTGTTTTCTGAAAACAAAAGATACTCAAGTTTTTTTGCAAATGGACCAATAAAATTCAAGGTTGAACTATGCAACTGTTGAAAACTTCCTGAAAATGGATCTCTCGGGAACTAGCTCTAGGTTGGATAGAACAAAGTCAGTTGGGGGTGGTGTGTGCATCTACACCAGATCGTCACTTAAAGTAAAACGTCTTAAGGAAATGAGTGTCACTTCTGAAACGGGATTCCAGCAGTTGTGGGCACAAATTCAGCTAAAGAAGCTAAGATCCATCGTGCTCTGTGTAGCGTATCGACCCGATTATTGTCCGGTGTCCTGTTTTGTTGATGACTTTATGGACAAGTATTCTCAAGCGCTTACATTCGGGAAAAACATCATCGTCGCTGCTGACCTGAACTGTGATATGTTGAAACCGCGTTCCCCGGAAGCTGTAGCTTTACAAGACCTGTGCGACAGCGTGAGTCTGACGCAGTTGATCAAGGAGCCGATTCGCGTGACTGAAACTTCGTCCACCCTTATCGATGTGATTATGACCTCCAGTCCCGACCTTGTGGAGAGGAGTGATGTACTGAAATCTCACATCAGTGACCATTATCTGGTGTATGCCTTTTTAAAGCTGAAAATCTCAAAACCCCCTCCTAGCTATGTGAAAGTCAGATCTTACAAGAACTATGACAGCCAGTGTTTTGTCTCTGATCTCGAGCGTGTGCCACGGAATGAAGTTGTCCTTGTTGATGACGCGAGTGATATGGTTGATCGATTTAACAAGCGATTTCTTGAGGTCCTAGATGGCCATGTGCCTGTTAACTCAGTGAAAGTCAAGCACCGCCACTGTCCATTTGTCAATGAGGAAATCAAAGAGCTGATGCGAGATAGAGATAGATTATTGAAGCGTGCTCGTTGCACCGGGCTTCCTGTGGACTGGGAACTGTACCGTGACTCCAGGCAAGTGGTTAAGATCAGGCTATGGAAGGCGGAACAAGAATACATAAATAAAGAGATGGAAGGATGTCAGAATACTAGTTCTCAGTGGAAATTGATAAGGAATTGTCTGCCGAGAAAGGAAGCTACGCAGCAAGTGTACACGAGGGAAGTTAAGGCGGTCGCAGAGGAGTTTAACGAGTTTTTTGTATCTGTTTGCGCTAAAGCATCAGAGGCATCTAAAGCCTTGATTGCTACTCATGAACTGTCTCCGCCAAACGATTTCACTAGTGGACAATATATTCCGGATGAGGAGAAGTTTAATTTTCGCGCTGTTTCAAGTCACGAGATTCGTAGAGCCGTAATGTCATTTTCATCTAACAAAGCCCCGGGGTTTGATAAAGTCACCATGTCTGTGATTAAAGATGCGCTCCCTTGCATTCTGCCTGTGCTGACGGACATTGTGAATCGATCCTTATTGTCGTCAGTTTTTCCTGCAGTGTGGAAAATATCTGAAGTCATTCCACTTCTAAAAGATGGAGATCATGAGATACCAAACAACAATCAACCAGTCTCCTGGTTTGAGTGTCCACCCTGTAAGAGGATTATATAAAGATTAAAGCATTTTCCCTCTGATGGTCATTTAATTCATTCTTATGACCTTTTCTCCTGACGATGTATAGACTTTGCTAGAAGAAAAAAATGTTGGTCAGTGTACCAACAATTTCATGGATTCCACTATTGCTGATACAGGAAACATGCTGACTGCATTCATTTAAACAATACTTCTTGAAAATAAATAAAACAAAACCTGCAATTCTCGTAGAGATTCCAGTAAATGTTTGAATGCTTGACTTCAAGTTATCTTGATGAGCTGAAAGAAATATTATTAAAGTCATTCTGTCATCTGTAATTGCAAAACTGAAAAAACGTATTATCATACAACGTACAAGACTGCACTCTCCCCATCCCTCCTCTTTCAGGTTTTTTACTACTCAGCAAATTATATACAAATATCACTTTTCCTTGACTGCAGCCTGTTTGTTTGAAAGATACACCCTTATTTCAGCTTCAAACTGATGAACTTTTCACCATTTCCTATCAATCCTTTGTCAGCACTCCCATTCCCCATCTGTTCTTCTCAGCTTCCATCCATTTGCCATAATTCCAATCTTTTTCCTCATTAACAGTCCAGGTGCCCATTTTTTGTCCATGTCCTCGTCTTTTTAACCCAGATCCTTTTCCCACATTTTCCATCTTTTTTCTGTTAACTGTATCTAAAAATTGTGACCTGCTTTACTCCCTCACAACCCCCTTTCAGCTCCCCTGTGGGTTAAATCCTGGTAAGAACACTGAGCACTTTTTTTCAATTTTCAAAGCTTGGTAAAATACTCCAATATTTTTTTTGAAGAATTTCAGCTTGACATAATTGCATTTTGATTATGTTTTAAATGCAGGAATAGTCCAGCAGGCTACAAGACACTGGACATCACACAATTTTTCACTGTTTGTAAACCATATATCTTCACTTAATTTGAAAAGTATTTTGAATACATATACATGTCAGTAAATAATTTTTGTTTTAAGAAAAAATGTATGTCTGACCAGTTTACTGATTTAGTTAGATGAACCAGAAATGTTGTGGGACATTGCGTTCTGTTGAGTTTTAATTTCTTTAATTACTAAGCAATCTTCAGCCACAAAATCATTAAGTTTTGACTATTATTACCTTCCACTTCTCTGTTAAGTTTGTCATCACTTTCTCTTAGTTTAAGTTGTAAACTTTCTTTTTCAATTTCTCTTCTTTCCACATTGTCACTGAAAACAAATTAACAATATTCTAAACTAATTGTTAGGTGACTGCATGTTACTAGGACTCAGGGAGTTAAAGCAGTATGCAACATCCCTAGGAGTCCTTGAACCCTCTATTTAGCAGTTTTAAGCCTTAATTAGGGTCTTGTGCTGGTCACAGGTTAGGTGCTCCAAAAAGTTTGAAATGGGGAGGCTCTGCCCTGAGGACTGATCCCTTACCCTTTTATATACCATTTTTGACAGTAAAGGTAACACTTTCGTATAGTGTACCTTCTAATGACAAATGGTACCCCTTTCACATACCTAGTTAAGAAGTTTGCACCCCTTTCAACTGATGCAAATCAGAAAAGCCTTGTCTTTAAAATATGAATAAATCACAAAAACAGAACGTTTTCTTGACTTTTTCACAGCCATAAAATGCATCTGGTAGCCCTTTTGGGTAGATTTCCCTACTCCTTTCATATACTTTAACAAGCGAAATTCCCCTTACCTTTAAAAGTTAATTACCCTGGTCTACTGTCACACGAGAGAGTTGAATCCACTATAGCTTTTTAGGGTTTAAATTATCGAATCTGTATAATCTTTCGTTTTGTCTTTAATCTTTTTAATTGTGTGCTGGTGTACCGGACACAACCCAAACAAAAGTAAGGTTTAAATCGAGAGGAAAATCAGCTGGTTTCGTGAAGGGCGTGAAAATTGACGAAATATACTCAATCACTTACCTACTTAATAATGTACGTATGACTGTCAAAAGCACTCCAGACTAAAGAAAAGATTTCAATAGTGTTATTTAAACAAAATGATTAAAACTTCCAGGCAAGAAATGAAAATTACCGAAGAAGATTCCTTGTGTTTCCTTCCTAACATCTCGAACCCCGCCATCTTGTTTGTTTTTATTACCGCTGTCAGCGAAGTATGGTATCAGGGACTCAGGGACTCACATGTGGGTATGGTTACCAGTCTCTCTCTAAACACGTGTCAGAACAGCTTCATAACAATGTATCTGTTTTATGGACTGTCGTTTCGGCCGCTTGGTTCTAAGCGCATCCTCGGAGACCCAGGGGCAGCTACAATCCCCGTCAAAAGTCTTGAAACACTTCCCCAATGTTGATTTGGGTATTACAGTGGCCTCAGTGCTTCAAAATACGCGTTGCTCAATATTGGGGAGGGAGAGGGCACATTACAGTGAGAACAAAAGTGTCAGGAGTAAAAATCTCAAGAATTTTCCGGAAAATTCAAGAGAAAAGGTGTCTGTTTCAACGATTTGTGACCAGTATTGTAGTCGGGACGATTACATCGTCCCGACTAGCTGCCCCTGGGCCTCCGAGGATGTTCTAAGTGAACTTATCAGAACAGCAGTCGTGATTTGTCTCAACCCTTTAACCCCCAAGAGTGACCAATATCTATTTTGTCTTAACAATTTCAACACATTTTTGAGAGAAACGGTTCAGAGAATTTATAAAATAATCACCAAAGAGGAAATGTTTTTATCCTTCATCAAAATTCTTGTCTCCAAACGGAAGTCTAAAGAATAATATGGCGACTATTGTTGTTGTTGTTTTCCCACTTTGGCCAATTTTTCGTCGCTCTCGTCGCTTTTCGTCGCTCTTTTCGACTCTTTTCTAAATCTACCCGTTATTATTTCATTATTAACACAACTGCTTGTAAAACTTGCTTTGCAGATATAAAAGAATGGGCGCCATGAAAATTTGATTGAAGTGGAAGAAAGTGCGAGCGTGGTTTACAAGGACATTCTCGACTGGATTCAGCAAAAGCTACCTTGAACTGTTTTAGGTCACGTGCACACGAATGCAGACTAATCATTGAAACTGCATAACTTTTTACCCCGATTCGACTGAGGCCTTAAACCACTCTGGAGAGCGGTTTCAAAAAGATATTAGGCTGATTTAGTAATAGAACGTGAACGTCAGTTGACGAAGACGCGCGCAAATCAAACAACTGGCTTGACCAATGGCAGCGCAGCAAATTGAGCACCGAAAGTTGGCGTTCAATCCTTTCCACGCGCTTTTCCATCTTCAACTGACGTTCCGGTTCTGTTGCTAAATTAGCCTAATGTTTCGGTGAGAGGATTCACTGGTTTCGTGTGTGAACAGAATACCAGAGGAAAAGCCGATACATGTGAAAAATATATATAAATACGCTTTTAAAAATACCCGTATTTGTGTAGACAGGGCTTTTCACGATAGTGTCAATCTACAAATATAACCAGAATCATTTCGGTTTTTTTCATTTCTTTCATATTTAATTCGGTAAATTCAGATGCCTTAATTTGCATGAGAAAGCCAAATTCTGAAGGATTCTAAAAAAGGCCGTTTTCACGATGGCGTCATTTTACTATACCCGGATTCCTTCAGTGTTTTGCTTTCTTGTGCAAATTAGGGCTTTTGTTATTTAAACCTCAGTGGGATTACCAAATTTAAACATGAAAGAGAAAAATGAAATGAGTTCCTTTAGTAGTAAAAACAAGTGATCGCATAAGTAGCAGCAGTTTAGAAGAAACCCCTATGGACCGCAGCTCTTTTGTTTTCGAGCTAGGTTCCAAACTTTGTTTGTTCATATTGTTCCTCCAACCAATACCGTGAGGTCTTCCAAGAACTACAAGGTCGCCCCTTATATGAAGAAAAGTCGCCCCGGGTAGAAGAGTCACTCGCCTACCCCAGCTACCCCAGGCGAGCCAACATTTCCTACATTTCCTTACCGAAACTTGGCGTTTAATTACACCAAAAAACAAATGGTGGGCTCGGCTAGAGCCCTTTTTCGATGGTAAGGTCACCTCTCTAGCTAAGCCAACTTTTCTCCAAGTAAACACTTGACTTGCCCAGCCGAGTCATTAACTCGGTCAAGGCGAGAGAATCAGAGCATGCGCGAGCGGTGTTTTCAGCTCGGGTAAAGGGGTCAACTGTTTCTCATATAAACATCTGCTTAAGTTGACTCGGGCTGGGAGGGTGACCCCGGGAAAATTTCTCTCTATATAAACGGGGCCTCATTCGCATAGTAATAATAATAATAATAATAATAATAATAATATTTATAGAGGGAGCCCAACTCGCCAAGGCGGTTTTCAGTGGGGCCCTCATGCATTAATCTAGCTAATTAATTAATAATTACGAAAATAGTAAAATATGTTTACAAGTAAAACAAGATCTTCCTGATATAGGTTCCATAAACAAAACCGTAACTCTTCACGTGCATCACGCGTTTTTGTAAATTTATTCGCAGTCACTACGTTATATAGAGGACATAAGCACCCGAAGACAAATTTCTTTTTCTCTATTTACACTTTGATGACAGTGCTCCCTAAACCTTCATTTCCACGGAAAAATCACCTTCATTTGATCAACTTAGCCAGTTAAGATAACCCCCACAAATGTTAAAAGTACGCCAGATAGTTCATTTATAAATAGCGTTTCGCTATCGTCGCGTCCCTAATGTCAGGCGTATTAAATCTCGAGCAACTGACGTTCAGTCAGTCTCTCTATTTTGAACGCCATACGTTAGTAGTTATGTCTCACGTTAGGTTGTCTGCTTTGGACTAGACAAGGTACCAAGGCGATCGAGAAACGGACCGTGGGTGGTTTTGCCTTCCAGTCCTCGAGCCAAGGCCCCCGCGGGCTAAAAGGGACAGGAGACTTCGGAAACGATAATGCCCGTCACCTGGATCGAGGGCCTGGAAACGAGATTGATTTACAGATTGATGTTCTTAGATAATTATAGCCTGCGATCATGCTCTCCCTAAACAAACGCCTGTTTAAAACAAAGACGATGAAACATGACAAACAATATTTTAAACTATTTCCTTGTTTCTGTTTTCGTCGTTTGTGGCTATGGTTTGTATTTTTGGATTCTGTTTCAGTTTTGCGGTTTAATTTTGTATTTTTTTGTGTGTGTTGCCGGTTTGTAATGCTTATTTCCGTTTTGGGATTTCTGTTTCTGTTTTCTGGTAGTGTTTTTCTGTTTTGGGTTTCCCATTTTGTCTTCTGTATTTCGTTTTGGGTTTGTTCTTTCCCATTTTTGTTGTTGTTGTTGTCTTGTGGTTTTTTTGTTTCTATCAGCCACCCTATATATTTGATAGTCCTCCGCATTTGAATCCAACCACTGGAGAACACTTCAAAACTCCGTTGAAAATTTCTTCACAGAGATCAAATCGTCCAGGTAAGAAATAATCTCCTTTAACTTGGAATTTGTCCAATCAGATATTTGTGCAGGGTTTATTTTGATTTCCTGCTGTAGTTTTTTCCCTCTCTTTTTTTACTTAGAAATAATTAATAATAAGTTTAGACCGGTTTGCAATCGCGAAGCAAAGTATGTTTGTTCCATGTTAAACAAAACGTCCAACTAGAAAATTGTTTTGACCGATTTGTCTTTCTCTCCCTTCGTTGTCTCCCTTTTCCGCTACTCTCGTCCACTTCCTTTCCAACCCTCCCCCGCCTCTAAACCCCCCACCCCTACCCCTCCTCCCATAAGCAATGCCGGATATTCAAGATAATTTGTGTTAAATGTGGATCTCTCATGTTGTAGACGTTACAGATTTATAATAATTTTCATTTTTATTACAATAGCTAACGAAGAAAGACCTGCTTTGTGCATAAATTTGTGAAACTAAAGTCTTGCATCGATTAATAAGAAACTGAGGTCACGAACTTAGTCAAGACATCTTTCCTCCTTTCAAATTTTTCAGTGTTCATTGGGACAATGTGAATTGCACTGCAAGAAAGGTTTTCAGGAAAATTACTATTTATAAGTTAAATCGCTTTTATTTCTGCTCTATGTATTTAAAATTTGTTGTGGTTTTCTAGTTTGTGGTCTCTCGGAAATTTGCATGTAATGTTATTGTCACCGGGCAGCGGACTCATTTTTTGGACTTTGACCTATTATTATAAAAACACAAAACAATAAAAAAGTAAGAAGGATCAATTAAAACACGCGACTAATAAACGCTCACAATAAAACCAGACACGAGATATCTTTTTAAAAATTTTATTGAAAACCAATGACAAAAAGAGTCAAATACACAGCGATTTCAAAGGAATGAAAAATTAATCCTCTTCTACGTTCTCCTCTTTAGAGGGGGAATAAAAATTGTTTTCCAGCGTCTTCGCTTTTTTGTGTGTAAATTGCTCCACAATCGTGACACCGAAGAAAGCCCTCTCTGATGTAATTTCTCTCCTCGCGGATCTGGTGATCGCATATCGCGCGGACAAATCTTGTAGTAATCGTGCCAAAAGCAGTTAGGACATTTCGTGATCAATGCTCCGTACACTTTAGTATTTTCACACTGTTCTATTCTCTGTTTCCTGACTGTTGTCGTTTTCAGTGTCGTTGTAGTTCTCTTGGGAGTCAACTTCAACACCATTCTCAGAAGCCACCTCCTCCTCCTCCTCCTCCTCCTCCTCCTCCTCCTCCTCCTCCTCATCCTCATCCTTCCCCTCCAAGAGACTATAAAGGGGACAGAGAGGGCATCCCCCATATACACCCTATTCCATAGGTAATTCGTCTCGAGTTATTTTTAACACCACAGATCTCACGGGGGATTAGACAACAGCCAATCACATAGCGCGAATGTGTTCCGCGTGGATGACCCACGCTGAGAGCCACGCGTCCTTCACGAAATGACGCAGAACAAAATGGGGGAAGACGCGGAGAGCGATTTTGCTATTCCTTTGGTCGACGAAAACGACTACAGCGAGATTTCTGCGAAAGCTGTGTCAGCGAAACCGAAATTAAAAAAGAATCGCCCTTCCTCTCTTGTATAGAGCTAACAGTAGAGCAGGGAAATCCTTAACACACTGAATATTCTCTCAGGATCATTTATAATTTACAGTTTGAAGACAGCAATTTCTGGTTTGATGTTTATTTTTTTCAG